GTAAATGCTAATGTAAAAATTATTAAAGCCTGTTAATAACACACACAACCTTATCACCTCAAGCAAGACTTCATCCTCTACCAAGATCATCTTTCCTATCATTTTAACAGAATCAGGATAACATTTCATAAGGAATCCAAAACAAAATCTGGTTTTCTACTTTTTTTGCAATTCCCATTGTTTTTTGGGATCAAGTCCCAATAGCACAATCTCTAGAAAAAAAGCTAGAAATCAAATCCAAGCTTCTTCTAAGACTGAAGAATACTGAGTACTTCACAGAACTCAGACGAAAGAGAAATCTCATCTAGAGGACAGCGGGCCTGATATACTTCTTGGCTGGAAATTATAAAATCTCCCACTAAGTAGTTTCAGAGGTGATTATGGTATATGGAATGAAAAGCCATGCCGAAGTAAGGTGATACTATAATACAAACAAAACACTCTTACCTGCCATGGGAAGCTTCCACACCATTTCTTCCCATCCAACTTACTCTTAAGGCATCGGTAAAACAACCTACCAAGGATTAAAACAAGATTTCAATCCCAGGAGCCAATGAAGAAGCTCTAAGCATTATTTTAAAAGTACTTTGCACCAAAAACATCACAGACAAGTTCTACGAGTCTGTACTTTTTATCCAGACCTTTGCATAACAAAAGGCTGTGAACACTAACAACAGAGGTTTTACATGAGTAGTGTTCTCTGAATAAAGATTCCTAGGGTTAGAGGTTTTTCTAAATTTTAGCAATATCAGAGTAACTGCTCAGGCAAAAATACTGTCTATGTTTAAAGCCTTAGAAGCATCTTAAGATTTCAAGGTGCAAGGAAGCAACTCTTCTTTTAGTTACACTGCACAGGCTACCTCATCTTTATAACAACTCTTTTTTAAAACTAGCAGCCAACCAAGATTGCTGCAAGTATTTTATCAGAACTAACATTGGGGAATTTGATGCTGAGTTTGGATGAATCCAATCACAGAGCCATGTTCCATTCTGTCAAAAACAAACATTATCTGATGAGCCAGGTTTATACTATTGCATGTAACTGCTAATAAAAGTGGCAAACATTTGGAAGCAGGGTAAGTGAAGGCCTCAGGGCTCAAATATTCTCTTCAATTCTAGAAGGAAACTGCAAGTTCTCTCTGGTTCTCCAACGCCATTTGTTTCAATATGTGCAATAAACCCCTGTTTTCACTTTGAATGATTGGTAGTTCAACTCTCTCACTTGTTCATAAATAATAAAGAGAGCTAAAAGCCTCCTGATCCTAAGAATAACAATCTTTATTTTTAAGAGGCAGCATCCTACAAAGTAAGTCTTCAAAGATGCCATAAAAATGAGATACTCTAAATAATGGGCCTCCTTTCCCACAGAACGTAGGTACAGCTTAGGTGGATGTTAAATCCTCATTACAGAAAAACTGCTTATTTACAGGATGCAAGCTTTTCTGACGTAAATGACTAAACGACCATTAGTCGGAATCAGTTTGAGAACATATTATTTTAAGCACTGAACATTTGAGAACATTATTTTAAGCACTGAACATGCGATAAAGAAGGAAAAAGGAACACAGTTTTTACCTGTTCGAAGGCAGACATTCGGTTTTTTAAAAATTTGAGGAACTTACTGGTATTCATCTCTGTCCGGCTGCTGAACCAGGACTTGCAGCTCCACCACGCACCCCTCATGGATCAAGCAGTGAGAAGCAGGAACCCTGAAGGGAGGAAAGGAGAAGCGGAAGAATACAGCCAAGACGAACTGCCCAGGAAACTGCCACCGCAAAGCAATCAATTGCGACAAAACAAAGGCTACGTAAGAAAACAAGTTTGCGACTGCTGACACAGCAGTGAACTTCCCCCAGGACAGCCAAGTGTGTCCCCTGTCGCATTGTCCCCCTCCTGCCGCCCCTGCCCTGCACCTACTGCGCTGGGAGGACGAAGCCGCATGAAGCGGGGCCCTGCGTCCCGCACACGTAGAAGCTCTTCCCTTTGTTGGGGCCATCGCGGACGCCCGTTTTCAGGAAGCAGAGGGACCCTGCGGCGCGGAGAAGAACGGAACTGGTCAGACCAAGCCCCCATACACCGAGCCCCCCATACACTGCCCCCCACACAGAGGCCCCCGGGCCGCCCCTCACCGTGCTCGGAGCACAGCACGGCCTCCATGGCCAGGCGGCACGGTCGCGCCCGCCCTTCGAACCGGCCGATCCCGCCGGGCCGGCGCTCCCACCAATCAGCGCGGGGCAGGGGCGGGGCAGCCAATCGCCGCTGCGCTGTGCTCTCCTTGCGCCCTCGAGGGCCGGAACAGACGGAAGGGGAGAGGCTAAGGGGGCGCGGCCACACACCGAGGGGCGTGGGCTTGTGGGCGTGGCCTCGGGCCCCGCCCCGGGGGCGCACCCGGCGCGGCCGCGCTCCCAAAGCCCGCGGGGTGCGGAGGGAACCGTGCTCCACCCGGACACCTCCCTGTCCTGGAAACGGCTCCAGCTGCCGCGCCTGACAGCGTCATCCCGCCCGCTGGACACACGTTCAAAAGTAAAATACTTAAGGGGGAATGTAAGTTGAAATAATAGTACAAACACCACAGACCATCGGGAACTGGAAAGAAGTTGGGATTTTTTCTCTTCTGTATTTAAGATGGGAATACAGTTTTACAAAACGTGTGCATTTCTCAATTACTGATTTGGTTAATGACAACTCAAGTGAGAGAACGACACTGGTTATAATGTTGGTACAAAAACATGAACAACATTTACACTAAATAACAGATTGCTGACATTAACACAGGCAGCCAAATTCAGCCATGTGTAAACTCTTGCAACCCCCCTGACCTGCTTGAAGGCTGCATTTGTCTCAGTACCTGTGTGAAAAATGTACTTTTTACACAATACTATCGATTTTGTGCTTCATCACGTGCCTTGGAATTTTTTCTCCTAAACACAGCATTATGGGCCAGCACCTACTCCTCCTCAATGCATTCATACTAGTGTGTGCCCTTCTGGCATTCAGCAACGCCCTGCTCAACTTGTTTCAAGCAGGAATACAGAATAAAAGGGATGCACAAAAAAAACTTCCAGTGCACAGTTTAAGGAGTGCTGAATACTACAAGGGACTGTGACTGGAATGGTAACGGTAATGACAGCAATAACGACCTCCCTGCAGAGCGTTTCCTGGCAAATACTTGGATTTTTGGTTCTTTTTTTCCTAATGAGTGTCCCCAGGTGCAATCTCTCTAACACATTAGAAGTACAAAATGCAGGAGTTAGAACCTCCCTATTATTAATTTATTTATTCCTGCATTATGCTAAGAGCCAGCTTTCTGGAACTTAAGTGTTTTTGCTCTAACAGCCTGTTCTTAAACCAGCAAACCATGTACTGAATTTTAAGCATGCAGTTATATTTTACATGGGAACGCAATGGGATTCAGGCTAGTTCAGAAAGTCAAGTTGCTTTGTCCAGAGATGGATATAAGCTTGTGCTGAAATACATCTCTGAGTCAGGAACAAAGACAAATAGGACGTCTAAATACAGTACTGGACCGAGGCTCTGCCTCATAACACTTTGCTTCTGTGCCTCTGAGTAAGTCATACAAAGACAAAACTCAATGGGTGTACACCCCGTTTTTACCCAGATGGAAACATCCTGATCATGATTTCCAAACAATCTGCAGCAAAACCTCATACAAAGCACTTCTGGGGAAAGGTAGAGGCACAGGCGAGCAGACACAGAGTAAACACATGCAAACCCTTGGTCCTTAAGTCCATTTGCTACTGACACCCACTCCCAAGGAATTATCCTGCTCACTTACATCTCCTCTCTGGCATACACAGTAAGGCAGGGTTTTAACCCCACAAAGTAAGGAAGGGGGTAGCCCACAAAGGCACAGAAAAGTTCCTCAAGCTGGATATACTCGAATGATCCACCTCATCCCTCTTTTCCTTATAGAACTTGCCACCTTTGCATCTTGTTTCACTGCCAGCAGCTTGGCTGTGCCGAGTTCCCCTTCTTTGGCAAGCAGGGCTGATCAACCCTCTCACAAAGGCCTAACAAGGTAATGTCTGTACAGTGCTTAAGAACATGCAAAGTGCAATATAAGTGCCAAATGTTCTTATTTTTGAGATTAATGAATTAATACTCCAAAAAATAAAAGCATTGAGGTAACTACAGCTTAAATACTACATTCCCTCATGATTACAAAAAAACCAAAACCAGCTGTCTTCTCTCTAGAAGATGAATCCTGAATATGAAGTGATAATATCTCATTTATATTCTGTCAGGTTTAGCACAGCCAGAGTGCCCTTTTAATAACAGCAAAACATGAGCTGAAGTTCTCAAAGAAACCAAGAATTCTGCACTAATGATTTCCTCAAATCCTATCTCTGTGCTGTTCCCAGCACATGTTTATTCCCATTCATTACATCCAGAGGAGCTGGTGTTCCATGCCGCTGAAGCAAAACACAGTCCAATGTCAGATATGGCATTCTGATGGCTGAACAGACAGAAATATCCCCCAGCAAAGGTAAGTAGGACCATAATCTGCATGAGCTCTGGGAAAAGTTCAGGCTTTGTCTTTAGTGAAGTCCACATTGCTCAGCTGGGAGTAAGGCTTTATGTCTTATCCAATGCACAAGCTCCTATCGGAGCACTACAGCTATCAAGTATCAGCTGATTATCCTGGTGGTCAGAAAAGGATGGATGTAACAATGAATTAAACACTGCACATACCTTTTCTGTTTTGTTCTGGTATCAGCTTTGGCCAATGGACCCAAGATTCAACTGACTAATGATGTGGTCAATGAAACCAAGCCCTGCTTTCCTTATGTGCTGTGTGATAATGATGTGCAGAAGAGTCAGTAGCACCCCAACCAGTAAACAAACACTGCTGTAAAATGCTAATGCAAGTACCAGAACCCAGCTATTTCCCTGTGAAAAAACACTGGAAACATTCTGACAAGGTGTCCTGGTTCTGGTGAAACACCACCAGCTGCAGTAGGACCTGCTTAGTGGTTTTCCCACTCCAGTGCTCGTGTCAAATGTTCCCTTCATCGATGCTCTGCAGCTTCAGTCTTTGGCTGGCATGGGGCCTGGCACCACGCCGGATGTTCCCACTGCTTCCTGCCAGAGTCCATGAGGGGGACAGGGCTCCTGGTAAAGCATCTTCCCCAAACAGGCTGAGTTTCACATCAGCTTCTATAGCTCGGGCCAGACTGGCTGCATAACTGTCCAGAGATTTATGCACTTCAGCTTTTACATGAAGAACAGAATTCTTTGCAGCCTCTGAAAAGAAAAAGATAACAGTTGGTAAGCATGGCTGTGAAAATGCTTGAAAACTAATATAGATCCTGTTGTAAAGGCATGATCATGCCCTCTGGAAAATAACTACAGAGTTATTTTCCAACAATTATTTATTTTCGAACAGTTATTTACCAACAATACTCAAGCTTCCTACACCATTCTATGAACACAAAGCTTCCAGAGCTTCAGACCTGGGATAATCTGCAGCTATTTTTGTAGCATCTGTACACCTCTCTACCCACCAACATGTTGAGCAATACAAGAGTTCATCCTAAATATAACTCTTCAGTGAGGCTGCTGAAATAATTTAAAGCCTCAGGGATGCTGAAAAGCCTGAGACTCACCAAGGAGAACTGCTAAACCTGTGGGGAATTGTGCACTGAGACTTTCCTCTTTCACTCTCACAAGAGATTAGATGTCTGCTCCTAGATAATCACTCAGAAAGATAGTGGGAAATGTATGCTAATGTGTTTGTACAAGGAAATATTAATCTCATGCTGGGAAGAGGGCAAAAGGGAATTTTGCCAAGATGTTTAAAAATTCCACAGAAAGAATTTTATCATTATTTTAGGTTTTATTATTATTTGATTCTTAAAGGCATTCTGCTCATTTTCATCCTGTCCACAATCACATATTGTTTAGAAAACTCAGTTGTTATTATCAAGTCTTCTATTGAAATTTTTTTAACTGTCAGAATAAATTAATGTTCTGACATGATGATCACAGCAATGTTCTGCTAGCCCAGAATCAACAAGCTGACTGAAAAAATTGCATGTGGTTCATCTGTTTTCACCCGTACATGCTGAAAAACACACCCAGTAAAGTAAAGTAGAATTTAAATAAGAAAAAGTAAATTAAACAGAATAAAATTATACTCAAATCACTGAAGTCTGTAAATGGAAGAATTTCAAGTCTGTAAATGACAAAGTTGACAAGAGACAGCAAATGAGAAACACAGAGATAATGCAACCAAAATATGAGGGCAGGAAAATATATTTCCCAAGAAACACAAAACAGGCAAAACTTGTAACAGCCACTAAGATGAGTGGAATTGCAGAGAGGATACTGCTGTGCAATTTAATTTTGATATATGCAGGGAATCCCAGCTTCTAACTCTTGTCCTTGACTGCTGCTACTTGAGACCTGGAAGAAAGGCCTGATTTTGCTTTCTGCTGTACCTGCATGAGTGATCAGGTCTGTCAGTGGTCAGATACTTTTCAAGACAATTCTCAAGGTCCTGTGAGGTTTCCTGAGCATTCAGTATAGTTGACTCTGAGCATTTTCATACTTACCCCTACACTCACCTTTGATTTGTTCCACTTCATCTTCAAATGTCACTGAACTCCTCCTTCGAGGAGGACAGATGCAGTGTGGGGCATGAGGGCCATCTGAGCTATAATCTTCAAGAAGCATTGTATCTGTTCCTGAAAAGAGCAAGAACCCCCAAGTAAAACAGTAACATGGAGATATAATATGGTAACAAAACATTTTCAGCCTATTTTCAGCAGTTCCTTCAAAAGATGTCTACATCCAGCTTTTGTGAGTAAATTTCAGCTCACATTAAACATTCACAGGAAAGAATGAGGTCAGTTTTCATTGAAAGGATTGGGAAATATTCTGATTAGAGACTGGGCATTGCAGGATCATGTACTACGTGCAGCAAGCAACACGCAAGAGGGACTAAGGCTTCCTTCTGCTCTTTAGTAACTCACAGTAAAAACATACAAAGTGAAACAGTATTTCACAGTAGATCACTGTGTATCTATTCCCAGGCTATGAACTGTGCTCCCTCCTTAACCAGCAACGGCACTTCTAACAGCATTTTGGCATCACTTTAGTTTTGTTCATTTGTTTAAACTGCTGTCACAAGATGGTAACACCACATTCTCTTAATCGAGGCAGGTTTACCAGGAGGCTGCTCTCTTTTATCACATACAATTGCTGAATATCTGCACAGACAGAAAACAACTACCAAAAATAAATCCCAGCTCCACAGACTTCCTTTACAAAAGTAGGAAACAAACTCCTTACACCAAGCAACCCTTAAAAGATCACTCTCTGGTGTCTCTAGAGCAGAAATACTTTCTAAAATAACTACTGCAGTTAAGAACTGGTAGCTGAGTTAACTGCCAGAAAAATCTAGCAAGAGATCTGGATAGAAAATTACCATCAGAACTCTTTTTTTTCCCTTTTCCAAGCCATCTTCAATTGAGAGATCTTAAGTAGTAATGAAATCATAAGCTGAAACCATCCTAAGTGTTTATGTTTATACTGCAGGATGAACAAGACAAGGTCTCTTACAAAATACGAAACAGAGAAGTACATTGTTCACAGCACTTTTTTGTTCTGTTCCTTGTGGATACAGAGAAAGTCTCCAAAGAACAACAGAAACTGAAGGAGAAGGGCAAAAAAGCAGTGAGTCTTGTTCCCAGGACACATTACCAAGGGAGTGTCACCATTCCGTAAGCACCATTTTGCACGTAAATCTATTGAGGGCAAGGGAGGAAAAAAGCAACTGCAGCAGTTTTGTTGGAACAGCTAGAACAGATGCTTGATGTCATTTGTCCACCAGGAGACATCTGTGGCTGTAAATGTTGACTGTCCACAAGACTGCTGCCAAGTGCAAACTTCTGCCCAAGTAGGGATCAAGAAACTTGCAGTTACCTGAATCCTGTGAGCAGCTGAAACCTGTATCTCCTGTGCTGCTGCTGTTTCCCAATGGCCTCCCACCTGCCATGAGGGCAGTAAGGTGAGGAGATAGTCCCAAATCTGCAAGAAAGTTTTGTTTTTGTTACACAGTGAATGGTTAAGGAGCTTGCAGAGGTAAAAACCTCTTCTAGTAATACCCACTCTACCGCTTTATTTATTTATTATTCTGCATATAAAACTCACCTTGGTGAAGCAGAGAGCACAGCTTCTGGACTTACCATCTTAGAAATCCAGTCAGCACCTTTCAGGTTTGGAAAAGCAAGTCTCCTTTCTCTCTACATCATCTCCCTCCCACTCTTGCTGCATCTGTGTGTTTTACCAGCCAGACAGGCTGAGCACCAAACATATGCTCTCACATGGATGGGGAGATTGGCCAGGCATCTTCTAGACAGAGAATAACCTGGTAGCCACAGGCAGCTGTGACAGGCCATTAGTGTGGGAAGAAGCTCAGAAGCAAGGTTGGGGCACAGAGATTTTCCACTTCTTTCAAATCTCCAAAACAAGGAGGGAGGAGATTGTGAGATTTTTACAAAGACGCTGCTTTGGATCTCACCTTGAGATTTTCTTGTGAGTTTGTTGGGAGTTTTTTCTCCTCCCTATCAGCCTCCAGCTAAGACATCTGATAAGAAGCTGACAGCTTCAAGTTTATCACTTGGAAAAAGAAAGAAATTTCCTGTCAGGTCCCTCCCCACCTCAGTTTCCAATGTATTAATCCATAACATTTCCTGGATACAGACTTGCCAAAACTCCTGGAGGTTGTTATGTGGCTACAGCTCCATAACTCTTTCATTTGCATGACAGTCTCTCCCAATGTTCCCAGGTTGCAGAAAACAGATGCCTTGCTGCTCTCATCTTCCTTCTGCATTTTAGATCATCCTTCCCAATTTCAGTTTATGCCTTTGCATGAAAGATCCCTTGAAGATGCTCTATTTTTGGAAGCTTATGAACATGATCAGGGAAATTATTAAAAATCTGAATGTCACTGTGTTGCTATTTTAAAAGAAAAAAAAAACAAAACCAAGCCACCAAACTGAGCAACTGGAGGTCTCAGTCTGCAACTTGGGAACACATCAAATAGTTTTATGGTTTAACACAGTTTTACTTTGTTTATGATCTTTTCTTCCCAAAAATTCAGCCTAAAAGTTGAACTTGCAGAAAGTTACGCCAGTGGAACCTTAGTGGATTTTAAAGAGTTGTAGCATAAGGCCATTAAACAAAGAAAAAGTGCAGTAAAAAGTACTTTTGGTAGAGTTCAAATCTGAGCAACACAAAATGGAAGGCACACAAAAGGAAATGCTTGAGAAAGAAGAAAATAAATTCTTTTTATTGAGCTCATCACTATGTCTTCTCTGCCTGAAAAAGTTTTACTATAGTAGGAGAATGATGTTAACTATAAAAAATAGAAAAATTCTCCTTTCAAATGTAACCTGACTGATAAAAGACTGCTAAAAATTCCAGAAACATCCAACTCTCTTTAGAGAGCCCTGAAACATGCCAAACACAGGCAGACAGGAAGCCTTGCTCTTGGTGATATTAAGAACGTGTCTTTTGCAGCCACATCTTACCTGTGATCCTGTTGGAAATGCTGAAGAGCCTCGATGTCCTGTGCTGCTGAACAAAGGACTTGCGGTAATACCGATCCCCAAAGCACATTCCCAGGAGTTCCTTGCGCACCGTTTTGTTCCACAGCCCATAAATTAGCGGATGGCAAATGGCACTGGAAAAGGACAGCCATGTAGCCAATGTCTCCAAAGCAGGGGAAATACTGTTTTTACCCCAAAGTGCCTCTGATGTTATTACTACCATGTAAGGTCCCCACGTAATGACGAAAGCCCCAATGACAACCAAGATGGTTATGAAAGCTTTGCACTGGTTGGCTGAGTAAACAACCCCTTGGAAAGCGTTCCTTCGGCTGCCAGAGGATGATGTGGAGGTGCTGGAGTTCTTCCTCCCATTCCTCTGCGAGTCCTCCTCCACAATGACAACACTCCCACAGTGAATTTTGCGGGCCTTAATCCTTGCCACACGGAATATGAATCCGTAGCAGATCATCATGACCACGAATGGCAGCAGCGCACACCAGATCTGCCAAAAGGCTGTGTAGGCAACCTCCTTGTGCCAGGCTGCCACACACATCCACTTGAATTGGTCAAACTCCAAGGAGGACCAGCCAAAAAGGGGAGGGAGGCAGCCGATAAGGGAGTGCAGCCACACGTACACAAGAGCTACCACTGCTCTGTTGCCCGTTATCTTCATCGGATAAACCATCGGGTACAGCACAGCATAGTACCTGCAGGGCAAGAAAATAAGTAGTCCACAGGAGCATAAAAGACATACAATAAAGAAAAGAACATGCTTTAATGATGCTGATATCTAGTTCTTTTTACTTCAAACAGGCTCAGAAGCCGTTTCTAGAAACAGTTACATGTACAAGTAGGTATCACCGCAGTCAAGACTGTCAAACGTGGCTGAAGCCACACATGCAACCATTAAATCTGCTCTTATGTGTGAGTGTATGCTTAGGGTATAATATGGAATTTTAAGTCACTATTTCATGTTTATCAAATAGTATGCTATTATACCATCAAGAGCTTTAAAAAACTCTAGATGAACGTCTGCATTTTCCATTATAGATTATATCACTTTCTCTTCCTCCACATCAAAATTTCATGAGGGGCTGAAGTAAAAATGACACTCCATCAGTACACCGTGTAACCTTCTCCACGTGCTTCTCAACTCTATGAACAAGCAGTGGTTACTCTATGAGAGGAGCAGACAATTTGTTACAATTCATTACCAAACAGCAGCTTACCGGTCTATAGCTATGAGTCCCAGAGTGAGCATGCTGGCTGAGCTGATCAGCATGTAGAGCAGGGCTGAGAAATTGCACCAAACAACCCCGAAGATCCATTCTCGCCTGATGGAGCTGGTCACAACAAAAGGCAGCACCAGCACGGAGAGTAGAAAGTTGGAGAGGGTCAGGCTGAACACAAACTTGTTGCTCAAGGTGAGAAGGTATGACTTGCGATACAGAGTGACAACAATCACCAGGTTGCCCAAACAGATGAAGATGGCAATGACAATTATAGCAACGGACTCAGTGACTCTGACTGCCCCATCTTCCTCTGTGGTCAGGTTCCTCAGGCCCTTCCCATTGCTGAGGGAGGAATTGCTGCTCATGGTCAGAGTATGCAGATCTGGAGCAGCCAAGACATGCTGAGCAGCTAGAAGCAGAACAACGCTCAGAAACATCCAGGTAATAGTTCTTCAAACTCTTTCCAAAGATTGGAGGCCCTTTTGCCTTTGTTAAAATTTACCTGTAGCATGCAGGAAACTACATATTTTAGATGGACAAGTGAAGGGGCAGTAAATTGCCTGTGGGCACACCAAAGAGGATAACACCAAGCCTAGAACAGGAAAGACAAGAAGAGGTGAAGGGGAAGGGAAATAAGAAACAAAAATAGGCACATTTTACTTTAAAATTTTTTACAGATCTTACTTGTTTCTAAGTCCTACTTACCAGCCCCTTCATCTAGGTTGTGAAGAAACAAGAATATCACTTGTTTCTTCAAGAAACAAGACTAATATCAAATACCTTTGCTTATCTTACTTTAAAGAAAGTCACTTTTAAAAAAATTTCTGCCTATCCTGATAGTTACCTTGTATTCTGCCTATACAGCATTTGCTGACGGTCTATGGATGCCAGGCTAGTTATACTCTGCTATTGTATTGCATGAAATAGTTTATTTAGTTGTTGTTTTGCACTGGGTTTGATATTTACAAACATACTGAATAGTATATTTGTATCCTCATGGGATTCCCCTCTCATATCACATGTCTTCCCCTCTCCCCTAAGCCCCAGTGGTGGTGGTTTCTCCCTGGTCTATCCCTCCCTTTGCCCCTCTCCTCACTTGTATCCCACTGGCTGTAGCCCCTCTCCTCCACCCCCCTTCCCCTGCGCTTAAAATCTCCCGGGAGGAACCTCTGACCTCTCTTTGCCTCCCTTGGACTTCCCTGGAGTGGTTCCACAACAAAGTGGGACGATGGATCATGATGGATCATTCCGAGAGGAATGAGCGCCTCTAGTCTTTTACTTTTGTTCTTGTAAGATTGCAAGGAGCCAGGGTCCAGAGCTAGCTGGATTGGACCCGAACGGCCCCAGAGATCAGTCTTACATCCTGCTGACTCTTCCTTAACAGTTGCTAAGTAACATTCAAAAACTCAGGGACCACCACTGCATGTACTCTCCCAACATAATTTCTGCATGTTCATAATCACCTTAGCTACACTGCTGATTGCATTTTACTGCCAACACCAAAGGACTGGAGGAATTGACTTTGTGTACATGAGGTTTGAAAGACACTTCCTTGCATTAAGATGCAGTCCATGCTACAGAAATGCCTGAGAACCTGTAATCCTTGACTTCTCAGTGTTAGCATCCATCCATTGATTCACAGCCTCATGTTGTGAAACCTTGTTATTTCTTCCAATTCCTTAGCAATTCCTCTTTTTCCTGCTGCCTTCACACGGCAATCACTTCTTACTTCATTCAGTCCTTCACGCATCTGTAGGATAATGAACGAACAAACAAACAAATGCAAATACGCAGACCAAAAAAAAAGTAAAAGAGTCCATCAATGAATGGAAAGTTGATTTTAGCATTTCTGGGAAGGGACTCAGGAAAGTTATCTCAGCCAATTCTACAACTGTGGCAGACATGGGTTCCAGACAGTACTCACAGAAATGCTTCCATCTGCGTGGCTGTTGTGGCATTAGGCAGCACTGTCAGTCTGGAATGACACCTTTTCCCCATTTTTATCTGTACTTTCCTAAAAACATAATCAAAGACATTAGTGGGCCATGCTTTGAAAAAAATATAACTTGGTTCTTCCCTAGCCTGTGACTGAGGACGTGTGCACAAACACTTCCCCTCGAGTTTCTTTCTCTCTCAGCATGCTTGCACCAACTCTGTGTTGTGCCTTTCCGACACTTTTTGGCCGGAGCGGGATTTGGAAAGGCGGCTTCCCCCGCGGCCGCACTCTGCGATACCGATGCCCGGAGCACCTGGCGCTCCCCGTCCCCTCATTGCCCTACTGCACCCTGCGGGGGGAAAAGTGACCTCGGGGAGAGGTGGCCCTCCCGGGCCAGGGTTGCCCGGGTGGGGACAGCATCCCATCCCATCCCGGCCGCGGGCAGAGCGGTTTGGCTTCCCGCACACCCACGAAACGAGTGGGACCGAGTTGTAAAGACGGTGGGGAACGGGGGTTTCGCCATTTTGCCCCCGCGCTCCCTCCGGCAGCGAACAAAGAGCTGGAAAAGGGTCCTCCGCCCCGGGCATCCATCGCTTCGCCCCCACGCGCCGGGAGCCAGCGCGTCCCGCCGTCTTTGTCCCCTTCCTGGCTCCGCACTCACCGCCCGCCGCCGCCAGAGCGGTACGTTCCCGGCTGGGGCGCCCGGGACCCCCGCCAGCCGCCGCGGCCCGAGCCTCTCCCGGCATGGGCACGGCCCCAGCCCCGTGCCTGCCCCTCCCGCCGGCCCGCCCCCCAGCCTCGGCCTGCCGCGCCTCCTCCCCGCCCGCCATGTTCTGCGCGGCCGCCCCGGAGCGGTCCGTACATTTCCCGGGAACTCGGTTAAAAGGCAGGGGAAAAGTACTATCCATGGATAAGGTAAAATTATTTGCCCCGGCTCGTAGTGCCAGGCAGCCGTAGAGCCTAAGTGCTAGACTTCCTAGACCCCCAAACACTATTAAAAGTAACACAAATAAGATTTGGGAGAGTTTTTCCCCGCACACACATCTGAAGCAAGACATTGGACATAGTGTCAGTATAAAGGGTACAGCGTAAAGGGTGAACAAAAATTAAATGCTGTGCTTGCCCTCCCTAGTTCCTGCCTTTCTCTGGCAATTCCCTCGAGCACAGAGGGTGACTGCCTTGATCTGAGCTGTGCTATATTTTGATTGCTCTGTGGGGGTTTTGATGCTGTGGACATCAGTTTCCTGTGGCTGCTGCCTGAGTATGCTCCAATGTTCCAACAGCAGGAGCTGGACTGTGTGTCTTGCTCCTGTGCCAGGGGAAGTCCCTAAGGAGTTAGTCTGCCCTTTTGATGATGCAGAAAAGCAAGACAAGCACCCACCCATCCGTGCTGGAATACTAAGCTGATGTATTATTTTCAACCAGTTCTACTGATACTTTTCTACAGGACTTTTTAAAGCTTACTATGCCATTGCACTTTGACATTTTAAAAAGACCGTCTTTGGACAGCATTCAAAAATGTATCGAACCAGCACAAGAGATTCCACAATGAGCAAAACTGATGCACAGAAGTTCCACCTGAATGTGAGGAAGAACTTATTTCCTGTGTGAGTGTCTGTGCGCTGGTTGCTGAGAGAGGTTGTGGAGTCTCCCTCACTGAAGATATTCCAGACCTGTCTAGGTACAATCCTGTGCCATGTGCTCTGGGATGACTCTGCTTGAACAGGGAAGTTGGACCAGATGATCCACTGTGCCCCATTCTAGCCTTGCCCAGATGTGATTCTGTGTGCACACATGTGTGTGTACTAACATAGCACAGGGCACCTGTTTGATGGAGCCAAGTAATGCTTGCTGCAACTGTTAGTGTGGCCATGGAGATGGTCCAGAGGCTTCAGAGCTCCCCAAAACTGCTCCTACCCAGCTGTCCCACTGCTCTTGGTGAGGTACCCATGGGGAAGTAGCTGGAGGCACACAAACATTCTCCACTGGTTTCTGCAGCCCAGCTTTGCTGGAACAGGGGTTTGGGTGAGCTTGCTGGCTCTTCATCCTGGGCAGAGGAGATTAGAGAGCCCACTCTCCCCACGGTGGCTCCAGCAGCAGAGAGAAGTGTGGACTCCCTTCCTCACCCATCTGCCCCCCCATATCACCTCACAGAATCACAGACTGGGTAGGTTGGAAAGGGCCACAATGGGTCATCTGGTCCGACCACCCTGCTCAAGTAGGGTCATCCCAGAGCACATGGCAGACGGTTGTGTCTAGACAGGTCTGGAATATTGCCAGTGGTGGAGGCATCACAACCTCTCTGGGCAACTTGTTCCAGTGCTCAGTCACTGCACAGTAAAGAAAGTCTTCCTTACGTTCACGTGGAACGTCTGTGCATCAGTTTCTGCCCGTTGCCTCTTGTCCCATTGCTTGGCACCACCAAGAAGAGCCTGGATCCATACTCTTGGAATCCCCTCTTTAGATATTTGTACACATTGATAAGGGCCCCTCTCATCCACCTCTTCTCGAGGCTGAACAGGCCCAGCTTCCTCAGCCCTTCCACCAAACGAAGATCAGTCACTTAATCATTTTCGCTGCCCTCCGCTGGACCCGCTCCAGGAGCTCCATGTCTCTCCTGTCCTGGACAGAACACTCCAGTTGTGGGCTCACTGGAGCCGAGCAGAAGGGCAGCACCCTCCACCCCGCCCTGCTGGCAACGCTCTTCCCAGGATTCCGCCGCCGCCGGGGCTCCGCTCCGCGCGGCCCTGGAAGCGGAAACGCCACGGGGCGGCGGTTCCGGGGGCGCCGGTGCTGCTGTGAGTGCTGTGCGGGAGGAGGCGGGAGGAGAGGGGTTCCGCCACGTCCGCCCCTTCCGCCGCCTCCTGCCTTCTGCTCGGCGGAGAGGAGGCCGCCATGCACCCCGTTTTCCAGAGCAGCCGGCGCGACTTCACCTTCGGGCCGTGGAAGCTGAGCGCCACCCGGACGCATATCATGAAGTCGGCGCAGGCCGAGAGGTGAGGCGGGCTCCGGGCCGGGGGCGCAGGGGGACACGGCGCAGCACGGTGTCCCCGCTGCTCGGGGAGCCACCGCGGGGCTGCGGCCTCAGCCGTCACAGCGAGGGGCTGGGGGCGTCGGGTGGCCTTGCGAAGGAAACACGCAGCGTTCCCAGGGCGGGAGAGACACTGCTCGGTGCCCGGGATTGTTCCTTCTCCTCATGCTTGATTCTCTGGCTGGAGAACTCGGGCTATTTGGGTTACAGGTAACTTCCAAAATTTTGTTTTAAGGATTACAGAAGGCAGCCTGCAAGAAAGATGAAGAAGGACTTTTTACAAGGGCATGTAGTATGGGGAAAAGGGGGAATGAATTCGAACTGAAGGAGAGATTTGGATTGGACCCTAGGAAGGAAATTGCTGACTGTGAGGGTGGTGAGTCGCTGGAACGGGTTGCCCAGATAAATTGTGGATGCCCCATCCCTGGCGATATCCCAGGCCAGGTTGTATGGAGCTTTGGGCAGCCTAGTCTGGTGGAGGTGTCCTTTCCCATGGCAGAGAGGTTGACCTTTAGGTTTCTTCCAACTCAAACCATTCTGATTGTATGATTATAATGGTTTTGGATCTCTGGATCTCTGTGAACTGAGACCTGCTAATTAGAAGCGTGATTTTTAAAATTATTTTTGAAAAAGAATATTTTTAACGTCTCATACCATGTCTCAGTAGTAGCTATTTTAAGATAGTGGTTTTCATTAAAAGTGTATAATTTGCTCCCTTCTTGTAGAACTTTCCAGTCCACTGAAATCATTGGAGGAAATGTTCCTGTATCAGCATCAAGTACTTAAGTCAGATTTGCTAATGTGGAACTGGAGAGTTCAGCTGTACCACAACTGACCTTAAAGACAAATGAATTTAGCAGATATTTCTTGGTTTCATTTTCTGGAATAAATTTCAGTATACATAGGACTCTCATTAGTCTTGTTAAATGTACTCTCATTTATCTTGCTTTTACCTTTTTTGAGGCTAATAAGGCATTCTCTGGGAGGAACTGGCTGCTTATAGCTGGGATGGGTGCACTGTTTGCTGGGTAAAACCTTGTCTGGATGACTGAGCTCAAAGACTGATGGTGAGTGGAGTTACATCCTGCTGGTGGCCCATCAACAGTGGTGTTCTCCAGGGCTCAGTATTGGGCCCAGTCCTGTTCAATATCTTTATTGATGGTCTAGGCAAGGTGATTGAGTGCACCCTCAGTAAGTTCACAGATGACCCCAAGCCAGGTGGAAGTGTTGATTTACTGGAGAGTAGGAAGGCTCAGCAGAAGTATCTGGACAGGCTGGATCAATGAGCTGAGGCCAGTTGTAGGAGGTGCAACAAGGTCACAGCGACCCATTTTGTCTTTTTTATTGCTTGGGGAACATTAGTAGTACCTGTAGGAATTTTATTTCTGGCAAATATATATTGCAAAAATCCCTCAGCAACCTGTGTGGAAAGGTGAAGGATTAAATGTGCCATAGCTAAGAACTCTTCTATGCAGGGGTTGGGTTTTTCAGGTCAAGGGTTCCTACACTTGATTAAATGGAAAAGTTCATAATGTTATTCTGCCTTCTTTGGGAAAAACATAGGATCTTATTTTCCAGGTCTGTGAATTTATTTTTTTTATTTCAGTTAGGTTGACACTGTTCTTTTGTATTAAGAGTTACAGAAATAACCACTTTTGTTCAGCCGTGTTACCAATGTGAACATTATGATTAGGACACTCTTCTCCCTCCCCTCACTCAAATAGGTGTGTATTTCCTAAAGCTTTCTTCTCTCCAAATGTCAGATATTCCATTTTGATCTTGGGAAGTCGGGTAGGTGAGGAGGAAAAGTTTAGGAAGTGTGCCAGTACATGTCTTCTACCAGCAGAGTACAGTAGTGTCTTCTGCAGTTTTTACATACTCTGCCTGGGTTGTCTTAAGCATCTTTTTTCTAGGCTTCTAAATTTGGAGGAATGGACCATTGTGCCGTGAATTCAAACTTGCTTATGATGAGTCCTAGTTCTTGAAAATTTCTTTGAGTACCTACTGAAGTTGGTCCACCGACCATCCAGGGATTTGCTAGCACAGGTGGAAAATGGCTTCTACATGTTTCTCAGATACTCTTGATTCCTCATGTGTGAGAATTTTGTCTGAGCCTGATGGTGAAGGAATGTTTTAGGAGTACTTTTTTGGTGGAAAAGTCACTTCAGATCAATGAGTCTGCATTTCAGGTGAAATGATTAACCTGGTGATGTGTCTTCTAAGTTATCATGGTCTAAAGAATCCTTGTTCCAAAACAAGGGCTGCTTTCACTGAGATGTGATCAGCTGATTGATGCCTCTTTTATTTTTCTCTGCAGGTTGGCTGATGAATTACACATGCCTTCCCTGCCAGAGATGATGTTTGGAGACAATGTCCTAAGAATACAGCATGACCATGGTTTTGGAATTGAGTTCAATGCTACAGATGCTTTAAAATGTGTCAATAATTGTCAAGGTATGATCAAAGTCGCTTGTGCAGAGGAGTGGCAAGAGAGCAGGTACAGTATTTTATCACTAGTGGGCAAGTACTGGTGTGTTGCATATGAAACTGTCATACAGTCGTTAAAGGAACAAATTGAACTCTTGAAGACCACATTGCATTTGATTCTACCCTAGATATAGCATGTGATCACAGAGGTCACTTTGCTTTTCTTTGCTGTCATCATCCTTTCTGTTAAATTGGGTCAGCTGTATTTTTCGGCTGTGTCATGGCTTTCTTAAAGTAAATGTCAAGTTTAACATGACTTAATGCTGTTTCTGTTTACTTAAACTCATAGAGCCTTGAGCATTACAAGACTGTATTGTGTGGTGTTGCAAAGTGCTGTACATGTTCAAAATCTTAGACTTAGGAACAAAGCAGAACATGCTTTGTTCCTAAGGCTAAGATGCATGAGAACTAATTATGATGCTTAGTATTTACCAAATTGGATTTAGTTGTAGAGCATCTGGAAATAAAGCACAGAAACAAAGCAAAGTTATCATAAAAACTAAGCTAAATTGCAGTGTTAATGATTGCTGTGTGTTGTCAAGAGATCACTTTCTGCCTACTTAAAGAGACATTGATCTTGAAATACAAATTTTTCAGCAATATTGCATGAGAATCTTTGAGTCATAGAACTGAAATAGATCAAGAATTTTCATAATTGTTTTCAAAGTTATTATGGAAGCAGACGTGAAACCATGATTAAGTCTTGACATTGTGATTGCAGCTCAGACAATGCTGCTGTTTTTCATTAGGAACAGTGTCAGAATTCTAATGCACAGTCTTATGTGAGGTTGTAATTTTTTGAGAATTGCTATAAAGCAATTACTACAAAGCTGTTTTCTCTTTCACTGTTGAGGAGTGAGACTGAGCACAGTAAGGAAGTTGTCAAGCCATATGACTGGACTTACACAACAGATTACAAAGGAACTTTGCTGGGAGATACTGCAACATTAAAGGTAATAATTTTCTTCTTGTTAATTGCTGACTGCATCTTGCTTCAGTCAAACTTTTTTTGAAGCTGTCATTTACCTTTCAGTAGGCTTCTTTAAAATCTTTTGTGCTTTGTAATTTTTGATTTCAAAGTGTAATTTGGGCTTCTCATGTCTCTCAGCTCATGATTTTATCCTAATCAAATCATGGCTTATTTTAATAACGAGGGTGGGTGGTGTCTTAAAGCATTTTAGGATTAAAGCACATCGGAGGCTTCAGCTCTTGCTGAGGACTGCTCCGGGGCCCTGAGCTGCTCACGTGCAGCAGAACTATCAGCTGTGTCATTCTGTAGTGCCTTCATGCTCTGCTGCTTGCATGTTTGTCTGCTTTCTGACCTGGCTGCTTTCAATGGCCTGATGTTTTTCTGCAAGAGCAGCTCAGTAATTCCTCATATTTAAACTCACAGGCCCTCCCATGTCTTTATTTTTGTGAAAATAAGACTGAAGTTCCCAGCTTCTGTTTACTGCATACAGGTTGCTTGCTACTAAGCAGATGTATTAATTCACTAGTATTGCTTTAGTTAGAGATCATTTGAGTTGTGCTGGAATTAAAAGTACAGTATAGAAATAAACAATTTGGTCCATGGTATTTGGACACCAGAAGTGTCTGTGGAGACCATGAGATAGAAAACATACAGGTACTTGATTTCTGTGAAAAGGCTTTACTGGAATAATTTTCAAGGTGTATTGTGGGTTAGGGATGTTAAATGCACAGAAATCTGTTTATAAACCTGAACTTCTCATATGTATCTTGAACACAAGACATCTTCAAATGTTTTGAAAGAAAGCAGAATTGTTTGCAGCTGAAACCCTACCCAGCCTGGTACCCAGAGAGACGTTTAGTCAGAATTTTCCACTCTTAAATTTTGTTTTTGCTTGATATTACTTCCAAGAAGAAACTCTTGGAAACTTTGATTTTAATTTTTTCTCTTAGAAATTTGGAGTGTGTTAAGCTTAGTGCCTGAGAAGTTTTTTCCTTTTTAAAACTTGGAATTAAAAATATCAGAACAAACTGTATGTAGTTTGGCAAAAAATTAATATGCTAACTGCTCTTAATATTTTTCTCTAGGTTGTTCCTACAACAGAACACATAAATACAGAGAAATTGAAAGCCAGGGAACAAATTATGTTTTTTGAAGAAGTACTCCTGTTTGAAGATGAACTCCATGATCATGGAGTATCAAGTTTGAGTGTGAAAGTAGTGAGTATTGGGAGGTGTATAAAAGATACCCGGGCACTCAGTTGGCTGATTAAAGCAAAACACAGTTGCTTTTTGCATGTTGTTCCTTCTGGGATTTAAACATTAAAGCAAAAGGTTCTTCATCCTTGCTCTTAGAAATATGATCTTACTGGAAATTATGTTTTCTTGAAACCTTCGTCATCTGTCATTTGTTCCAGGGGACAATCTTTTCCCTCCTGCTTCCTGCCTAATAGTCCTTTGAGACACTGTCTGCCCCACTGGCCAGTCATAGCTGTAGCACATCAACTGCCCAAACTTTGACTTAATTCTTGTAAACTTCTCATATGGTCTTACATTGTGAATGTCTGATGTAGACAAGTACATGCTTAAGTAAGCCTTTGTAATGTGCTGAATGGACCCTCTTTATTTTTCCAGAGAGTTATGCCTTCCAGCTTTTTTGTGCTGCTGAGGTTCTTCTTGAGAGTGGATGGGGTACTCATCAGGATGAATGATACAAGGCTTCATCATGAGGTAAACCCTTACTTTCCATCATGAGTTACTTTCCCTTGCCATTTTACTTCCAATGACCCAGTGATATTCCTCTAATTTAATACTGATGTTTGGGGGCACAAAAACTTCTGAGTGTATTTTATTATTGTGGTGGTGCTGAGCTAGCAACCAATTGCTGGATGCCATGTGTATGAGCAGAGTAGGCTACCCATCATGTGATGTAATCATTTAAATACATTTGACAAACACAGATTAGAGAAGGAAGCACAAGAGGAAAAATAGGCAGCAGTAAAGAGTTCAATACTGTCTTGTCTTCAAATACGTTATTGTAACTTGCAAATAACTGTCCGCAGTACATTGAGTTCTAGTATCTCACAAATAATACAGGATGTTAAGATTTGGGTTTTGGTAATTCTGTGTAGATGTGTAGGAGTTCTAGCTGAGTAAAAATTAACACGCATTTTCAGTCATAGAATTTTTTTAAACATGCATGCGGCAGGTTTTTGGAAAAAAACAACGTTGTTGTCATCTGTCTTCATGAATTTGAATGTACATTTCTTCTATGTGAAAATTTGTGGTCAACCAAATTCCAATGCTTCCTAAATTAAATGTATTTGAAATGCTTGTTTTACTGATACCAGATGATTGCTTTTTTCCTTTAGGCTGACAAGACCTACATGTTGCGAGAATACACATCCAGGGAAAGCAAAATATCAAGTCTAAAGGTATTGCATTTTTAAAACTTTGATTCTTTTCCTTCTGTCTGCTTTTTAGTTTTATGGTCAGCATAGAAAATACTGTGTCTCTTAAGTCCTTCTTTGTTAGTTTGAAATTAATACAGAAGAAAGTTCTTTCTGCTTATGCAACTTTTGTTTTGGTGATTTTAGAGCAGATTTACATTTTGTAAATGCTCAGATCACATGACAGGGTATAGGATTAGGTCACTTTTTCTACTATTGAGTTAACAAAATGTTTTTATTATTTTATTTTTTCATAGAACTGTTCAGCTGCAAAATCAGGTAGTCCATGTCCCATGATGTTAAATTTCATGTGTTAAATTTGTGTGCTTCCAAGCCGTATTAGGGATTAAGATCTGTTTGGTAATAGACTCTTTCAGTTTTTGTCAAATATTTGAGGTTAATAGGCCACCTTAAAACTCTAGTAATGGCTCAGAATAATTTGTGGCACATTTGGAATTGGAGCTGTTGATTTTTATTTGTGACAAACACCTCAACTTAAATTTTCTTGTATCTTTCCTCCTCCCTTTTTGTTTGCCTCTAAAGAGTTTGCCTGGAGTGGTGTTTACATCCAGTAAATAATAGGTTGTCTGTAATAGTTTGGGGTTGGAATACTTTTTCTTATCCCCTCTTTTCTTTCACTCATTTCATGTAAAAGTTTTGCTTTTTAGAATGTTCCACCTACCCTGTTCACGGAACCTAACGAGATCTCTCAGTATCTACCCATAAAGGAGACGATCTGTGAAAAACTAGAATTCCCCGAGGAGCTGGAGCCTAAACCAGAAACATCACTGGAAACCATATGTGCTAAGTCTAAATAAATGTGACTTTATAAGGACTTGAAGTATGGAGATTATGTGATCACAGTTGTTGACATGGGGGGTGTTTCACTACTAGTGGAATGAAGAATTTGGCTAATTTTTCTGTAGCCATAAGAGAAAACATTTCAAGCAGATTTTGCTAATGGTGTTTTTGGTTTGGATTTTTTTTTAACCTGTATTTGTAGTTGATGATAGACGGGTGGTGAGTTACAGTTTTCAATAGCATTGGAGAAATGACTATTGGGAGTCTGGGTTCTGTTTAGTTCACCAAGCAGGCAGGAGTATTGTCTGGACTCCCATCCACTTACAATTCTATGAAGATTTTGTTATTGCTGCTTCAGATACTATGAAGCTACCAGAGTTGTAAAACTGGCATTATTTTATTTTTATTGAGAAATAATCCACAGTAAAAAAAAATTTCCTCTGCATTTATTTTGATCTGTTCATCCTAAACTACCCATTTTCCTTAGCTTCCCTACGGGTAACCAACAAAGTTATTTCTTGTAGTTTCTGATCCAGAGTCTCACCTAAGAATATTAATTTCATCTGAGATAGGTTTAAGTGTAGAGAAAAAAGTATATTTGTTTGACACTATATAAAGGTAAAAATTATTTGTGAAGCATTAACTCCAGGAGAGCTGGAGGTTAACAGAGAGCCACTGCTAAATCTCTTCGCAAATGCTGGTTTAATCTAGTGTCTGCTGGAGTTCTGTAGGCAGTTCTGGGACTCTCACTTGAGGTCCCTGTTCTGCTCCAGTAATGTACGCTGCTGGAAAGGCATCTTCCTGCACTGGCCTTCTCTTGGATGTGCCCACATGGGACAGTTCTACTGCCCTGACAGCCAAGTTGCAAAACTGCCTTGAGGCTTAAGGTTGGTTAAGTCTGATCCCTAAAGGGTGCTGGTATTTGCAGTTTGAGAAATGAGGTCCTGTATGGCCTTAGAAGGATGCTAACATATATTCCAGATATATAATTTTGGTTTATTTTAAAATTATTCTGAGTTCTGGTATTGATAGAAGTGTGATCACTTGTATAGTCATGGTTTCAACACTCTGTAGATGAAACTGAATACTTGTATTGCTTTTGGAAATTGTGCAATATATTACTGGTTTGGCCTAAGAATGGGGCAGTTAAGCAGGCTTGTCTGGGTTTGCTGCTGACACTCAGTGCAGGAAGCATTGCAGTGAAGCATTGCTGCTGACACTCAGTGCATGTAACTGCAGTGAAAAGCAGACCTGGTGGTGCAAGGTGCTTGCAGATAAGAACAGGGACACATTCTGATGTCTTGGGGTTTTTGTTTAAAAATCTTCATATTCTACACTGCATGGCTTACTAGAAGCAGCCCATCACAAAACCTTGTATTTAATAATATATTTTGTGAGGTTTTCATGTAGACAAGACCCTGAGGTTTTTTTGGGGGAGAAAAGTGTACTGCCATCTAATTGACTGTTCTTTATTAAAAACAAATAACACACTGATTTCACTTTTATTTGAGGCAGCCTGGTCTAGTGAATTCTACTGCAGGTGGAAAGGCAGGAACTAACTGCATATTTTCCTGTGTTGCTGATTTACTCTACTCTAGGGGAAGACATTTTTCTGAGCCTACATTCCCTGTACGTAAAAATGGGATTTAATATATGCCTACCTCACAGAGAGACTATGAGGATTAGTTTGTACAAAGTTATTGATTAGAATTTTTTTTTTCTGAATACACCTTCAGCCTTATCTTTGGAATCCTTTGGAAAGGATTGCTGCAAAAAAAATTAACTATAAGATAAATGAAGAGAACTGAAACAGTTTCTGAAAGAAGTTGTCCAGCTGTGGTAATTACCAGGTAATTATCAGACATGATCTGGGTCAATGAATTTATGGCCACTTTGAAATAGAAGCAAGGTCCTCTATGTTCCCCATTACATTCCTAAAATCTGTTGGCTTTTTTTCATCTTCCTGCCCTTGTTTCCTAAACATTTTAGTGTCAGGATGAAGAAGAGTACTGCAAATGGGTGCAGCACCGAAGAGATTAAAATCCATTTAGTAATAGAAGATTATTTGGGTCCACTCCAGTGTTAGAGGGAAGTGAGGAAAGAGTAAAAAGGAAAGGAACGACAAGTGGAGGTGAAGAGTTATTTTTCTGGTAGAAGTAAATCATGGCACTTACTCTAAGCATATATTACTATACATGCCTTGGCACTTACTCTAAGCATAAATTAGTATACATGCCTTAGAGCTTATAAAAACACTTTTACAGCTGGTATGACCGGGAGCAGAGCACATGTAGTGCTGGCATGAGCTCTGTATCTGTATTTGTTAATTCAACCTGTGATTTGAGCTTGGTCACTGATGCTAACATTAAACTCCTTTGGTCTGAAATAGAGTGTGGGGGGGAAAGCCACAGAGTGGGGAGAGAGCAGTAGAAAGGGCACTCTGCATGATTAGCTTATACTGTGTGTTTTCTCTTGTCCATCATACATCCTAATTTGTGACCTGTGATAAAGTTTTATGGAATTGACTTGGTATCTAGTTGACTATAGATAAGTGCTCTCCATCTATTCTAAAGGGTGCTGTGCATTTCAGTGGGACATGTGTTGGGGAAATCACAAGAACACCTTTAGGAAGTTACAGTTACAGCAAGTTCAAAATTGGAGCACTTTGTGACTTTCTTTTGCCACACAGATTACCAAGAAGCAGCGGTATAAACTGGTGTACAGCAAGTGCTCTGACACAAATTTTTTACAGAAAAGTACCACTTTGAATAAATAACTTTAGCGGGGGAGGGAGTTGGGGTGGTTCTCCAGCTGTTTTGTGTCGAGTTTTATGTGGCAGTTTATATTGTTCATGTATGTTGCTAAATAAAACGTACCAAACATTTTGCAGTTCTGTTTTTAACTGAGCAAAATAAACTGAAATAACTACTTGTGATGCTGAATTTTGGCTGCTAGTAGAACTTTGCATCCAGATAGCTTTGTCTGTCATGAGACTGCTAGGCTCATTACAAAAATAAAGTGAACGGGAAAAGAGCCACAGTCGTGGAATTAAAATGAAACCTCACTGACTATAAAACGAGTTTTGCTACTGCCAAACCATGGAGTGGAAAGTGCTGGGAGGAGATAGGATCCATGACAACTGGACTACATTCCCCGGCAGTCTTCGCGCCGCCCCGCCGGCCTTCCCCTACCTGCGGCGTGCAGGTGGGCGCGGTGGCTGCCGGGGCTGGTAGTCCCTGGGGAGGGGAGGGAAAGGAAGGGCAGAGCAGGACATTCCGGCCGGGCGGGCGGCCGGGCGGGGTGCGGAGCCATGGACAAGCTGAAGCGGGTGCTGAGCGGCCGCGACGCGGAGGAGCCGAGCGGCCTGGCCGAGGTAGCGCTGCCGCCCCGATGCCGGGTGGGGGGACCCGGCCACCCGTCCCCGGGGTGCTCGGCGCGGTGGCGGAGCATCTGCCCCCGAGAAGGCGCCGGTGGCATGGGCGGGCGGTGCCCCGGCGGGTCCCGGAGCCGCGGCATGGCCCGCTTCCCGCGGGACACTCGGGAGGGTACCTGAACGGGACCCGGCGCGGCAGCGCCTGAGAGGAAGGTTTCCCGCTCGGTAGGAGGCAGGAGCTATAAGTAAAGAACTTTCGCTTTTGTTTTTCTCCTCGTTTCCAGGTTATCGATGCGACTTCCTTAGGTTGGGGCACGCGAGTGAAAGGTTTCATTGCGTGTTTTGCGATCGGATGCCTGTGTTCGATCTTGGTAAGGGCTTTTTGCCAGATTCTCCTCAGTATTTGAGTTTCAGGAGCCCAGATAATTAGAGCTTCCGTCTATGCTGCTGCTGGATTTTTCCGAGTCTCTGTGGAGACCTTTGACTCGGTTCCAGTTAGATAGAATACACTGACTCTTAACAAGGATGCCAATAAACGCGATTTACTTTCGTATGCGTAATTCTGCACTTTGGCTTGGAGTTTTCTTAAGAGTTCTTTCGTGATGTGACACTTCTTGGATATATATGTTTGTTTCAATTTAAAACCTGTTCATTTCCCCCTCCCCCTTTCTCTAAATGTTCCTTTTCAGGGTAGTTGTCTGCTATGGATACCAAAGAAAGGGCTGGTACTCTTTGCTGTGTTTTATACCCTGGGAAATATTGCATCCATTGGGAGGTAACGATCTTTATATATAATTTCCCTAATCCAGATGAGAAACAAAAGCAGATTGATAGTGCATGAGTGGTAGAAGCTGTTGCATTTGCGAGAGATTTGCTTTTGTAGATTATTTTCTTGTTGAATTCTACAGAACAGCATTTTCCCAGTAGTGCCCTGAAATGGTAAAGAAAATTTTAATTTTTTAAATTGTTGTTAGTAATGCATTCAAGATAAAAGTTGCTCATTAATAAACAGGAATCATACTCATGCTGTAAGCATTGAGGTTTTTTGATTTTGTTGGTTCCCTCTCCCCCAGATAAAAACAATTCTTTGCCCTTTTGCATTTGGCAGTGCTCTGTGTGTTTTGGTGAGTATGTTTGGGGCAGTCTGTCTGTCAGGGCAAGTATATGTAGTAAGACTTCCTGGCCTTTGAGGTTCCTGAAGCAAAGCCCTGCATACTCTGTGACAAGCCCAGCTTTCTGTGATTGTGGAAACTTAGCGCGATGCAAGAAAGCATAAATGATGGAATTGAAAGAAATATGCTAATGAGGCAGAATAATATAGAATATGAGGCAGAAATATCACTTCAGTTGAAACTTTCACCTTGTGTAATTCATCCAGTATCTATCACCAGGGCCCTAAATGAGGCTGCAGACCTGGTAAGGGATCAGAGAATGGATGCAGGCATGAAAACAGCCTTTTATGTGGGGGAATTGGGTTGGATTACCTGGCAATCCATGGAAGAGCCTCTGTGGATGGTGTTATTGAAAAGCAGATTTTAAAAGGATTTTTGAAAAGCAAGTTAGAAAAGCATCTGTCAAGGATGATCTGATTGGAGCTGACCTTGGCCTGTGCTTCTAACTTGATAGTTGTGCTCTGCTTCCGTTAATTTTAACGGAACAAGTGTGAATAAAATTGTAAATACCTTGCACAAAGAAAGGATTTGGTCTCGTTGTATAATCTCATTTCTTTTGTTTTGCTGCACTGATTGCCATAACAACACAGTGTACTGATGCCCCTATGGCAGCAAACAGTTTAATCTTACCGAGTTTCACTTTTGCCTTTCTCATTTCCATGTTCATCTCGACTTATTTTTTACAGCACTATGTTTCTTATGGGACCAGTGAAACAATTGAAGCGGATGTTTGAGCCTACACGTTTGATCGCTACTATTGTTATGCTAGTAAGTATCCAAGGAGTCACTTTTAACTCATACAAATCTGGCAACAATTTTTATTGTGAAGTCCTTTCATATCCATGGATCCAGCTATGGCTCAGGATGCGCCTGGGGGTGGTTTTTTCGTTCGTGTTTTTTTGTCTTTTCTTAAATTGTTGAATGCTGCACATCCGCTGTAGTGGAAGGGTAAGTGTGGCAGCAGAAAAGCAGCTCTCTGTTAGGCAAGACTGAGCTGAAGCCAGCTTGTTTAGCTAAATGAGCATTAAGGGTCTGTGGCTGGTGTGCGTGAACCATGCATGTGCTTTTTAGGGTACATGAGATCACAACATCATATTTATGTGTCCTCTAAGAAGTGAATGATGGGAAGCAAATTTTTTTTAAGTTGTCCTATGGATATTGCTAGATATTTTGTTTGGCATGATTTTGTCTTTTTATATTGGGTCTGATTGCTTTGAAGGAGCTGTAGGTAATACCTACACTACCTATTTTATCAAGAAATATCAAGGTATTTCTTGATAAAATAGGTAGTGTAGGTATTTCCTTGATAAATGTGTTGGTATTTCCGTGATAAAATCATCTCTTTGTAACAAAGCAGCTGGGGAAACTGTGCCTTGGTAACCTTGCATTAGTGATCTTCCCAGCTGGCTGATAGCTTCAGGTTTTGAAACTTGTATGACAGAATGAAATTGCACATTCAGCATTCAGTGGAGTTGCCCTTGGGATTGTACTATTTTCAGAAGATGGAAGTTATAGCAAGCCTTGTGTTGTGTGTGTTTCTGTGTCTGAAAGTTGCTGCTAAGTTTCAGACTGACTATTCTTTAAAGTACACAGGTTTTTTCTTGTCTCTACAACTTTCCTGTTTGCTTCTGGCAAGTCAAAAAGTTGAAAGGTGGTTTAACTTGCATGAAACTTCCATTTTCAGTCTGAATGTCTTCAGAGTGCTTGCTTGCATCAGCACTTCTCAATTTCTCTTTATACATCCAGAGATGCTGCAGAGCTTGAGAAATTGACTGTGTATGCTTGCAGATCCAAGCAAGAAGCTGCTGTGTAGTGTGTGTGTGTGTGTGTTTTGTATGCATTCAGGATGCCCGGAGTCAGAAGAATTCCTGGAATGTTGTTCACTGCGATAAAGCCAGTCATTAGATGTATGATGCAGTATTTAGACCAATATCCCCACCTTAAAACTAATGAAAGAACTGCATTTATTGTCAGTACTGTTTGAGCTCAAGTGTATGATTTCATTGGCAGTGCATATCTCAGTGTCGGAGTCTGCAGTACTATATGGGGTTTTTTTTCCATTCTGGCAGATTGCACATAATAATCTCTAGTAGCACAATGGTACATGTGTATCTAAGGGCTGTTAGATGCTGATGAAGGAAGATGAATTATCAGCATCTATCATAGATAAATGAGCTGTCATATCTTAAATTGAAAATGAAAACTAATAGGAGGTATCTGTTAAATCTGAGGGTTAAAGCAGAAGATGATCCTACTGCTCCCCAAGATTTTACCTGTAGTAAAGAAAGACACAGTGCAACTCTGAAAACAGAAAAAGTGCTTGTTTGAATGACTGTGCCTTACTTCAGTATGTACACAGGAGAGCTACTAAGCAATAGACTGAAGTTCTTGAAAGTGTAGCATGGTTTTAATTGGTGAGCTTTTAAGTAATGACATAACTTCAATGCCGTGGTAACCATGTAATCATCGGGACCTATGCAGAAGCAGAAAGACTAAGCATGGTAACTGAAAAGTATTTGAAAAGTCTTACTTATGCAAAATGATGAAATGGTGTGTGTGACTGTGACACCAAGAAGTGTGTGGGATGGAGTAGGGACCTGCAAAAGAGCTTCAGGAACCTCTTCCTCTTGCTCCTTTGCAACCATAAAATAATTTTCTGGAGATACCACCCTGATATTTCCTGATTGCTTTAATTCGCTTAAGAAATCTAATAGCGAGAACATTTTAAATACATGAAACTTTTAAATATGAGGAACTCTTATGATAAAGAATTGAATAAAACTGTGAAATTATGTAATTAATGTCTGTCTCTGTGAAGGACCTCATTACATTGTTGCAATATTTATAGAAACTGGAGTTGTTTCTATTTTTAATTAAAATCATTTGTTTTCTTCTAGTTGTGTCTCATACTAACACTGTGTTCTGCTTTCTGGGTGAGTACTGGAGTCCTGTATGTATATATAACTGGAGTTAATGTAACTGTAGTATATTTTAAAAGTAAGATTCTTACACTGTTGTCTCTGCTGTGTTTCTTTACCCCTCCTCTCTCCTCTCCCCTCCAGTGGCGTAAGGCAGGACTCGCGCTGCTTTTCTGCATCTTACAGTTTTTTGCCATGGCGTGGTGAGTGATTTCCTCCCTACACACTCCACTTTCTGTTGCACCTGACACCAGCAGCTGAATTGTGAGGGGATTTTGACGTTGAGTTAGGTGGAAGGAAAATTTTTACCTTGTCAATCCCTTAGATTCAAGACAATGCATCAGTGAGGAGCTGATCTCTTCACACTTCGTGGTCTCTCACACCACTACAGAGGCTGTGGAGATGGAGCTCAGGGCTCCATTTCTAGAGGAAGTTCCTTTGATTTCTCTGAGCTTGAACTGAGCTTGTTTTTTTTTTTTTCTTTCCCTTTTAAATCAGTTTGTTGCCTACTATCTGGTATTTCTCTTTTACACTGTCCTGAATTTGTCTCATTCAGAGACCCAGTTATGCCAATCAAACTGTCAGTGTTCTTCATGTTAACATAGGGTCTGGGCAAGGTCACCAAAGGAGTGCACAAACTGATATAGACTCCTAGCCAGCCCTCAATGCTAATCTTGCCTACTTGTAGGTGTTGGAGCATGAAGAATACTGGATGCAGGAGAGCTGCGTTTAAAATGCTTTTACAACATCCCCCTCTATTTCGCCCTAGTGTTTCATACCCTGGCTGGGCTAAGATGGCTTGCAAGGATACTCCTTCCTGTTACTCATAAACTCAGAGCTTCATTTTGGTTATGTAATTTGCAGTTTAGAATATCAGAGGGGTTGTTCTTATTTGTGATTCTAGTAAAATCTGACATGAAAAGTAACTTTCAAAATCTTTCCTTTTTTAGGTACAGCATTTCCTTCATACCATATGCAAGGTAAGTTTCTCTACTCTCTTACTCTGTCATTTTGAGGTTTAATCTTACAGAAGATTAGCTTAGAGAAGTGTTGTCAAGTGTGGCTTTAGAAGGTTTTCCATGGTGTAGGAAATACAAGTAGTTAATCTGAAAATGAAAATAAGCATTTTATCTAGTGGGAGAACACAAATGGAGAAAATGAGAGGGCTTCCCATAGGAATATGTAAGCCTGCTGACCAAATGCTGAGCATTTGGTATAAGCACAAGGCTTACCTTTGGAATGCCTGAATGTTGGTCCAAACTGCTACTAGACAAGTGTATTCTTCTGTGTCCCTTTTGTCCTGTTCTCCCCCATGAGCACTGTTCTGTATGAGCACAGCTGTGTCTCCTGCCCCACCCTTCTGCAGTGCCCTGCCTCAGTGCAGCCTTGCAGGTGTCGCTTCCGCAGCAGGTGGCCACTGAGCAGACCTGCTTGTCTCTAAGGCATTTGTGTAGTCATGCAAATCACGTTAATGCAATTTATACATGGTCAGCTGATCTCTACAGTCCTCGGTGTTAGTGGGATAGCAGCATGGAATGACTCTTATCAAATCATGTAACTCGGATGACTCTGATTCTCTTGTATTTTTTTCTTTCTCCTGCCTGTAGGGATGCTGTGAAGAAATGTGTTTCAGTCTGTCTGTCCTAACAGGAATACTGGATGCCTCACAAAGTTCTAGGAGCTGTGTTGGATCACTGTGCTGTGTAGTGTCCTACTTCTGTCTTGAACATGTGCCTTTCAGCTGCTTCTTAGAAGCTCCTTATGTTACACCCAGTGTCTGCAGTTGCTTGGGTTTGTAAGCAATGGTGTCTGTGGGACAGGGGGCTTGTGATCGAATGAAATTCAGTCTGGCAGAAGAACTGGGGAGAGGTCCACAATTCGTTATGATGATTCTTGCATAAATTCATGCATTTGGTTTTGCAAAAGTTTCAAAGTAATGTGTGAAATTTGTAAGTGAAGACCTTGGCTCTGCTGGGACTCTGCCAGTTCTAGAGTGGAAACAACTTGGGATTTTTTAAAATAGCCTTATGTCACTCAATCTTTGCACTTTTTGCCTTAGATAATGGAATATTCGTATTCTTTCTTTTCCTGTCTCTCTTGAAAGATTTTAGGTTTATGAGACTTCTAAAAGATGTAATTCTAAAACCAAACATAGTTTTGGACTAACCATGAAATGTTTGCATCTTTAATGAAATATTTAATTCTCAGTCCATACTGATAGTCTTTCCTTAAAATACATGAAAGGGACATTTTCATCTGAAAAATCTTGTTCCTGTTGGAAAAACACTCGTAAAATAAGGTCCATTGATGTTTTTAGCTACCAGAAACCTGAGTTCTTTTCCTTGCTCATGGTTGCAAGGGAGGAAGCTGACATTTTTCACATGAAGTGAGGTGCTTCTCTTCTCCTCCAGCTGTAGCATAAGAGCAATGCAAAGGGCATGGTAGGCAAGCAGTAAAATAATTTATGTATGTCCTTTCTCAAAGGACAAACTGTCATAAGGTAGAAGTTGGCTATTGTTTTTAAGCAGTCTGGTCAGGGAGAAGACATTCTCTTGTGAACTTGTAAATAAGTTAAAACTCCAACATTTCTCTTTGTTTCTTTGTAAGTGGAATCCGTTTTCTTTCTGCTGAAACTCTTGCATACACCAGTGAACTTCTCTGCATGGAGGAGAAAGCACAATATTCTGTTTCTGTGGTAGCAAGGAAAGCGTGAAACAATCCCTCAGCCAGCTCCAAACAAATGCTGAGTGGTCTGTATCCAAATTCCAAGGCCACTCTGTTCTCTTCATCTTCTGAGCTATGTATAATCATTTACTCCCGCGGCATTGCAGTGGTCAGTGTAATATCTGAGCACAGATTCCTGCTTCTGCTGTGTGAGATAATGTTTTACTACTTTCCCCTTTCCTCTTACCAAATTGTCTTGCTGAAGCCAGTGTTTAAGATTATGGTTTTCCAGTGCACTCTAGTGGGAACTGAAGCATCTCTTCCTCAATCTACTAAGCATTTAGTTGTTTAAGAGCATTGTGTTTGCATGGCAGGTGTATCCCTGACTTGTACCACAAAGACTTTAATGCAGGAAAAATCTGAACCTGCTTGGCTGTGAAGTATAAGCTCACAGTGAAGGCAAATAGTTCTATGGTTTCCAGAAAGTTATTAAGAAATTAATTAATCCAAAATCTTAAATTTAAAGTGTCCTTCTGATAATTTATAAAGCCCGGTACCACCCACCTGTAAGGATCCTCTAAAATAAATAAATTAAAGATTCCCTTTGTAGATGGTATGAAAGGGAGATTTGGACAAGCATTCTGTGGATTCATGGTGCCAGAATTACTGTTGCAAAGGCGTTTGAAAGGGAAATGCCACCTTGGAAAGACAGCACTGATGTTGGGATGCAAGTTATGCAGATTCAAGTACTGCATCCTGGTGCTTTTTTTACCTCCCAGGATGATCTAAGTGTCTAAACTTTTGATCAGGGACGAAGTTCAAAACCTAATTTACATCAGTCAAAGGACCTGTGCCAGTCTTTTCTTAGGACTTTGATAATGTTTACAGAATTCCTTTTGTATAAGGGAAATTGAAATGCATCCCTAATGCCTTTTACATTCCAATATTCCTTTAATTTTAGCATCTCTGAATGTCCCTGGAAAAAGCTACAAGCACAGTATCCATTGTTTCTCCTTCCCCTCTCCAACTAAGTTATGTTAACTCTGATCATCATTCCAGGTTCAGCAGCCACAATAATAGAATTTGACTTTTGGGATTCTTTTTTGATTACTTCAGATTATGAGGAGTACATGCCTTTTGTTTATTCTTTGGCCAACTTGGGCAGAGTTCTGGTAGCCTGACTCTCTGGCAGTTCTGGAAGAACAGTACAATTGGGTATGGTGAATATTAGTTTTTCAACATGCACTAGTTCTAGCTAACTAGAACCTTTTAGCTGGCTCTTGTGAGCACAGCCAATTAGAAGTAGGACATTTATGAAAATACCAGTAGATAGTACATAAATGGATTTTTGTCCTTTCCCCCTTCTCTTCTCAGTTTAAAACTCTAATTCCAGCTTCACAGCCTTTTATTCAGGAAGAGAGAAGAACAAATCTTCATCTGACTGCACAGCACATGAGGCTAAGCAATTGTGCCCTTACAGGAAGGGAACTCAAGGGAAGATGGCAAGGACACAAGGATCACAAGAGTGCCACTGGGGTTTATGTTGCCCTTTGGTGTTGTATTCTGTTCCTGGGGACAATAGACAGTAGGAGAGACTTGCCATATTCTTACCACTATGTGAAACATCCTCAGGGTTTGTTGCTTCATCTATAAGCAGTTTTTATTTAAAATAGCTTTCCCAGAGCAAAACTCTTTAGATTCTTACTCACTTTTAAATAGTTGTAGTGAGGCTGTTGACAGTTTATCAGCAAAAGAAATTTCTCCTTTACTGAAGTACTTTATTTTATATGATTTTTACATAACTAGGGAGTAAACTATATAAATATTCCCTCTTGAGTAGTTTTCAGTCCTAATTAGATTATATCATTATACCTTTTTTTTTTGGTCATTAAACCTATTTTGTGTTACGTTTTGATATAATCAGCTTTAGTTATCTGCTTGGCAGGGAGCATGGTGGGTATTTTTGAAGCTTTCCATCTCACTGTCCTTGAGGGCAGGAATGTTTGTTTTGTGCGCTCTACTTGAATGGAGAGCTTCTGGTTGGAATCACAAAGCTCCTTCCTTCCCAAAGTCGTTGCTCAGTTGCCTACAGCACTTAAGGCTGACTTCTCTGAGGAAACTTCTTTGATGTTGGGTGCCCATCTCAGTAGGATTTGGTGTTCTAACAGAAAGTGCTTTTTGCTCAGCCTGTTGACCAATTAGTCCACTTTTTTCACTTTTTGCTGTACAGATAACATAACCTCAACCAAGCAGCCTTACCGTACAGTTCTAGCAGAAAATTTGTGTATCCTGGATCAGCTGACTTTCCAGCTCTATTAGAAAGGCAAATAGGGAGGCTGGTAGTCATCTGTTCCCAAAGTACTGAGACTCTATACATTGAAATATGAGAATTTTTTTTCTACTACTTCAAAGTTTTGCTCTATTTCATGTGATGAAGTCCATTATGAATACTGGTACTATGTGAAATGGTTCAACACTGATGATGTGAACAATTTAATCTCATGTAGTATTCATAGTAATAAGATTGTGCATGAGCTGTTACGAAAACCAAGGAAGGATTTTCTGCCACAAGTTGAAATTCTTTTCAGATACCATGTTTTTAAAAGGAAAGTGTGTTGAGCTCTATGTGTGCCTCAAGCTTCCGAAAAACAGCTCTTCCTTATTTTTGGTACTTAATCATGTTCTTGAAAGTGAGATCACTGTGCTGTTGTGAACTGAGGAGGAGGAGGATGTTTAAACATGTTTGTCTTAAATATTGATGTTTACAACCATAGTAAATGATGACCATTTTGGAGGGAAAGCACACAAATAGTTTATTGTCTTAAAACTATGTGCCTTGCTGTAATGTGACTAAATTTTTTACCAGCTGTGGAATTGTTTTGTAAAATAAAAACTGAACTCAGAAAAATTTTTTGCAATGTTTTATACTGTTACTGGTTGTGTTTGCTGATGTGCTTTTTCTATGTATTTACACTGTTTGATTTCTACTTTGATAAATGTCTTTTTTTCTGACAACTTTCTCTATAATGAAGTGAAACCCTTACAAGTGCTGTTTGTTTCCTTCAATAAAGTTATTGCTTCATTAAATTAATTGTTCTTACAGTTAATGTTCTTATGGCCTTTTAAACGATGCTGATTCTCCAGATGATGCTGAAATTGCTGAGGGTAGTTTGTTTCCTTTTGTTTGTGTGTTTGGTTTTTTAAAAATTATTGCCCTGTCCTTACTTCCTTTCCTGTGCACACAACTAGTACTGCTGGGGGGAGTTTTTGTGTCACCAGTGTTTTGCAGCAGCTTCGCCCAGCAGTTGCAGGCACCTACACAACTGGTTGGTATGAGTGGAGTTATTAAGGTGAGAATGATACTTTTATTACTTAATATTTATTTACCGTAAGAACCAACCTAGTATGCCAACAAGCTATCCTTAGTCCATGCTACAGAGGAAATAACGCCTGGTGCTATTCTGTCAGCAAAGACAACAGGAAGCAACACACCTCTGAAATAAATATGCTCTGAGTGTTGATGTACACTCAATAAAATGTAAATGAAGTAAAATAGCAATGATTTATGAAGTTGTGCTAAAAATAATTAGAGGCAATTATTTTATTTTTCTTAGCTTTCAAAGAGCTGGTCTGTTTTAAGTGTGTGCTATGCATTTAAAGACCTGCCGTGGTTTAATATTCTTTGGCAGCATATCAAGACTGTGTTTATCGGGCTGTTCAGGGTATGTTACACTGTCTCCTAACTGACAGGCAGGTGGGTTTTTTTCCCTGTTGGCAAGGGTGGTGGTGGGTGCTGTGGAAGACTATGTTAAGTTTTCAATTTTTTTTTTTTGTTTGTTTGTTTGTTTGTTGTTGATCGTTCTTCTAAGCAAGCTCTGTCTCGCTGCTGACTGAACTGAAATTTCTGTCCTACAGGAAACTCCAAAGTTGCATTTAGAATACAAGCAGCAGCCTGTCTTCAGTAGTACAGAAACCACGGGGTTTGCATTTTATCTTTTTGAAAAGGTTAGAGTGTCCCAGGAATGTCAGGAAAGCTGGACACATCTGTGTCATATTAAAGCAACTGCAATTTCTCATACAGCAATAAATCCTTTCCGTGTCTAATCGCTTAGAGGTATTTTGCTTGCCTAACTCAACCTCCTGCATAACAACAAAGCTGTTGAACTTTGCCACTTCATTATCATGCTGAGGTCTTAATACTTGAATGATTAAAAAAAAAAAGTGAAATCTTCATTTGAAATCCATAAACAATGATCAGCTGCCCTAGAGTGCATTCTGTTGATTAATGAAAGTGCACTTTAGAAATGCTCTGAAAGGGTTTATCAGTTGTGCTACAGCATCTAGTCCCTGAATCCCATTACCTTGCAAAGTCACCAGCATTCAAATTCAGTTACAAGACTCTTGGAAAGCTGCTGTAATGTCTGCCCCTTTCCCTTCTCCTTCAAGGTCTGATTTGCAAGAGAAGGTATTTAACGGATGTGAGCCATTCAAAGGTGGGGGTTGATAGTTATTTTCCATCCCTTGCCTGTACCTTTCTTGTTGAGCTCAGCCTTGATTGCAATATGTGTGGTGGTACAGGCTTGTAACTGCCCAGCCATGAAGTGCTGGAGATTCCCAAAGGGAAAAAAATTCTGGTTTTCTCACTTTTCAGAAGAAAGCTGCTGGTGAATTAGAGATAGAATAGTCTATCTAAGCTGCCAATCTTTGGGATTGCTATTTTAAGTTAGCCTGGTTGAAACCCTTTTAAGTTTCTCTTGCATTCCCTTGTGGCATCTCTAAGAGAAGCTATTCCTGAGAATTCGTGCTTCAAAACCTCTGTGGGAATAACTGTGGGGTAACATGGGTGTAGTGTAAAAATGGTACAATGAAAGTGTCACCTAGTGTCCTAGGGTGATGTTATGATGCTTGTATCCCCATTCGTGTGTTCTGTTTATGCTGGATATTATGTTCTGTGCCTTCAAGACTGGCTCTGAAGAGTGAAAGTTTTGTTTTGGTTTCTTATCAGATGCTCCCCCATGGGTGGCGGGTGACGGGACGCAGAGACAGGGCAGTACATAGTGCTGCTTATGTTTTTGCTTTGCTTTTTGCTTTGCTCTTGCTTCTGCTTTGCTTTGTTCTCGCTTTTTTTCTCCTGCTCATCAGTTAGTAGCTAAGCAGTCCAATTTTTTTTCCTGGACTGTTTCTTCTTTCCCTTTTTTCGGACCTACTTGAACCTGCTCTGGACTGGGATCTGGGAACACGGAGAGTTTGCACCCTGTGGCTGCAGCAGCTGCCCCAGCACCGGAGGGACTGAGAACAGAGCAACCACCCCCAAGAGAGACTTTCTGAATTTGTCATCTTTTTCAGAGCGGTGAAAGAGTGGTGTCATCCAGTATTGTTCATTTTGTGTGCTGGGGGTGCTGTGCCTGTTAAATAAACAGGTTCTTTCCACTTCTCACTGAGGAATCCTTCCCAAACCAGTTGAGGGGAGGGGCTGTGTGGGTTTGCTTTCTGGAGGGGCCCCCTTTGGCGATTCTCTCCCAAATTTGCCCTAAACCAGGACACTTGGCCAGTGTGATTTCATTGCTGCTCTGAGGGGCTGTCATGCCCTAAAAGCTGGGGAAATACTGAAAGGTGTAGGAGGGCTTTGTACCGGGCACATAGTGACACACAGGACAGCTTCATACTGCAAGAGTGGAGGCTTAGATTAAGGATTAGGAAGAAATCCTTTACTGTGAGAGTAGTGAGGCACAGGAACAGATTGCCAGAGATGCTCTTGATGCCTCATCCCTGGAAG